GCGGGTGTTTGGGACCATGCCCACCCGCGATAAGTGAAAAACCGCAAAGTAGGTATACAGTAGTCCAAGTTCAAATTCAGTTGACGTTCAGTAAACTTTGTCATGACGTGCCAGGCTGCAATCACACTCATCACCTGTTACTCCCAATCTTCCTCCTTAAATAAACAATTTAAATTTAAATACTGTAACATTTTAAATAAACTATCCATTCAGCATGGATTGTTTATTTAAAATGTTACAGTATTGAAATTGTAGAAAAGAGAAGTGCAGCAGGACATCAAAGGATGTCACACAGCTTCAGCTCTGCAGCACAGAGCAGAAACGTACTTCTTGATCAATTACACTTCAACAACTGAACATAGAAGTTCTAAAATAATTAAAAATAACTGTTAACACTTATATTTTGTGATTATGATGATTTTTACAATGTGAAATACTTTGAATTTTAAGTTGGAAGACAAAAGTCGATCGGTGCATCTGGACAGCAAAGGGTTAACCCTTCACAAAGCTGCAGCAGGAGAAATGTGTGTGTGCACGACAGAGAAGGAGATCAGCTGATCAGCTGCAAGGGGGAGCTTTGCCTTGCACTTGTGGGCTTCACATATGGTGTAAAATCATTTAAAATAATTTATTTTAAATAAACAACGCAGCACGGTGGCGCAACTGGTAGAGCTGCTGCCTCTCAGCGAGCAGGTCCCTGGTTCAAACCCTGGTCCGGGGGCCTTTCTGGGTGGAGTTTGCATGTTCTCTCCGTACATGCGTGGGTTTTCTCCAGGTACTCCGGTTTCCTCCCACAGACCAAAAACATGCATGTTAGGCTGATTGGTAACTCTAAATTGTCCCTAGGTGTGAGTGAGAGAGTGAATGGTTGTTTGTCTCTATGTGTTCCTGTGATGGACTGGAGACCTATCCAGGGTGTACCCGGCCCCTCGCACAGTGATTGCTGGACATGGGCACCGGCGACCCCCGTGACCCAAAATGGAAGAAGCGGGATCTACATTATCTCAAGTTAGATACACAACATCTTTTCTTGGTCACAGGTTCCTCAGCAAGAGTTTGATTTGTTTCATTTGACATTCTCTGTTGCACTTTTGACATCATAATCAAAGATTACTGAAAAAAATCAAGTGAAATAAGTATTTTATGTTTAACATTTCATCTTGGGGGCCAGTTAAGATGTCAACGAGGACCACATTTGGCCCCCGGGCCTTGAGTTTGACATATGTGGTCTATTGTTATCTTTGTTGTCTACTGTTGTCAACACTCTTTGTTAAAATCAAGTCTCTCTTGTAAATGAGTCCCCGAGGCTGAATGGGATTAACCCGTATAAATAAAGGTTGAATGAATGAATAAATACTAAAATAAATATAGCGTTCCTACTTCGTGGTTTTTCACCTATTGCGGTGATGTGTGGAACGTAATCCCAGCGAAAATCGAGGGACTACTGTATGTCATCACATGCATTGTAGATGATGACGTCAGGGCCACATGGTACTTCAGGGCCGTACCACATGTTCTGTCAAGTGGGGAAACCCCCACCACCTCCACTCTTGTGCTGCAGGGACTCCTCCCCTTAGCCTGGTTACCTTGGTTCATTGTAAAGAGCCGTTTAAATGATCCGGATCGTTCGCCACCATCCTATCTGTACTGGCAAATGAAAGCTATATGCTAGAGGAGGTTGAAAATGTTTTAGCTAAACACAAAGTCTCACCTGACCTGTCTTATTATCAAGACTCTTATCAGGAGGAACACACCAAGTACAGCTGATTAGAGAAGGCTTTTTTTTTACAACATAATAGCACTGACACGCTGGCAGAAACAAGCCAGCAAGTTACTGTGCATGTTCATTTACAGTAATAACACAGATAATGGACTGTACAATGCCAAGATGTCTACTCACCACAGACATAATGGGAATGGACACTCCAAATATGGATGGGTCTGTGGATCCAAAGTTATGGCTGATGAATCATGAAGGAGAAAGCAGAAGAGTGATTATCTAACCTCGTCCATCCGTACAAACAGCAGGAACACAACTGAGATCACATTATTTACACTTAACATTTAAAATGGACATTTATGAGACAAAATTAACATTTCTAAAGTGGTATACTCATTAAACTTCAGAATAAGGTAGATTACCAACTGTTTCACTGATCTATTTCAGCTAAATATGCTCATCTTCAAACTGTGGGGCATTTTGAAGGTCAGCAGGTTATTTTTAAGTTTAATAATTGTATTAGCATAGGTAAAGCATATGTTGATCATACGATCGATTTTAGAACAGAAAAAAGCAACTTGTACACATAAACAAGCATTTAACGGGACATTTTAGGCTGTTTGAAGTGAAGTTCTGAGTAAAACTTATGAATAATTTATATGTTTCTTAATGTAGATAGCTGGCTGAATGACCAGTTTGGAGACAGAGTTTACCTCTGACAGGACTGATGGGCTAATGGATATTCTGGGCCGAGCCAAGACAAAAGTGCATCAGAGGCATCCTAAAATAACTCGTCTCCAAAATTGTAATAGTGGTTTATGTGAACTTTGTTAATCAAACTTCACATCTACATTAGCTTAACATTTCATAATTATTTTTGCATAAGTATTGTAAAATGCCTGCCAGAATTGACCTCAGATTGCCACTATACGCAGTAGCAAATAATTAAAATGCATGTAAATTAAAGACCTACTAATCCTTGAAGATATGTACATCACTCACCTACTTATGCCAGTTTTAGACTAAGATCATCTCATGTGGACAAATGAAGTTGTAGCAGTTTCAGTTAAACTTTGGCCATAATATTATGCACAGCTCACACTTGGAGTATGCATTCTGAATGACCCTGGACTTCTGTAACGTCAAGTTTTAGCTCAATGTCTGTAAAACAGAGTCAGACACTTGTCTGTGTTAGCTACTGTCACTTAGCTGTGGAGGCCATCTTAAATTGGAGTGACTCCAAAGGTTAATGTGCATCCAGTAATTACTATGTGAATGAATCATTAATGTCAATTTAGTTTATGAGATATTATGCTAACAGAAAGACACTAGCACACACAAACACGGGCAAAAACCTTATTGGCTAACTTTGCCTCTTGGTGGTGGACAACTGAGAAATTCAAGGTGATGTAAAATGTCTTTAAAATAATGTTTTCAGCACTTTAGTCTTGGCTATGTTGGACTAGCAATCAGTCCTGTCAAATCAAAACTCCATTTAGACCTAAACTCCTAAACGAACCTAAACAGATGTCGCTTAAATAAGGTGATAATTGTTCATAACTTTTTTAAAGAACCCAACGTCAACAATGTCTGACATATCTCTTAAAAAAATTGTCCCCTGGACTTGGTTAAAGCTTTTAGTGTCTTTGTTATTAATCTTAAATCAAAAACAACTTTACTGGCCTGAAGAAGATTCAAGTGCACCTTAAAGTAGACTCACCCTGTGTTTTCTACTTTAGGGAATATTGAGAGAGGTAGAGACACAAGAGCAGAGAGAAATCCACTCCAACACATCTGCAAAACAAGTCACAGTATGAAACAGAGAAATTGCATTTCCTGTTGAAAGCTTACTGCTGAACAAACTAAAACTTACTTGAAATACATAAATAGCTGAAAAAGGTGAAACGTAGAAAGAAAAAGCTGAAAGGAGCACAAACAAAAAAAAAACTTCAGAAAAATAACCGAGAAACGGAGCAAAGTCGAAATTAGCTAAAAGAAGCAGAGAGCAGAATAAAAATCTAAAATTTACAAAAGAACAAAACAAAAACAAAAAAACAACAACGTTGCAATAAGCAGAAAAACTATGAACGGAGAAGAAGCTGTAATCTGAATAAACAGAAAAGTGCAGAGAACTAGCTAAAAAAAAAGGTAGAAAAGTTGAAATAAGCATAAAAACTGAACATTTCTTCACAGGTTGTTAGTCTCATTGAGCCTCGTCATTTACAAGAGAGACCTGTTTTCAATTTAATCAAATGTTTACAGATGTTTAACAACCTGTTAAAATACACCAAAATGCAGGAAATGGCATCTCTTTTATTCCAAATTTTCTGGGGGAGGATCCACGGACACCCCCATCCCGCCGGACCGCCTGCTGTTTGTGTTCCGGCATCAATTGGTTTACAAATGAAGCCCTGCTTAAAATCAATACAGATCTTTGACTCATGAGGTTTGACATTTCTATGTTAATTGGTTATCAGTGTAAAGTTATGTCAAGAAAGGGGCAACCTCTAACTCTGACCTTCGACCCCGGGACCTTTAAATGTACAGGGATAATTGGTGACTCATCGGGTGTCCAGCTCTGAAGTTGGACAATCCCACCTTAAACAGTTTCAGAGTTAGAGCTCAAAGAAGAAATGGTCCACAGATGAACTGACAGCTTGTATCAGCTTTGGCGCTCATTTTGAATTAGCCTTCAGTACGTGTTGGAGATCACTCTTGACTTCTAACACAAAATTTTAGATCAATATCTTTAGATTTAAACATCCATCCATCATCTTTATCTGCTTCTTCCTTTTCAGATCATGGAGGTCACTGGTGCCCATGTCCAGCAGTCACTGTGTGAGAGGCAGGGGACACTCTGGACAGGTCTCCAGTCCATCACAGGGACAGAGACAAGAGAGACAAAACCATTCACTCTCACTCACACCTAGGGACAATTTAGAGTTACCAATCAGTCTAACATGCATGTTTTTGGTCTGTGGGAGGAAACTGGAGTATCCGGAGAAAACCCACGCCTGCACGGAGAGAACATGTAAACTCCACCCAGAAAGGTCCCCCAGCTGGGTTTCAATCCAGCGACCTTCTCGCTGAGAGGCAACAGCTCTACCAACTGAGCCACGTGCCGCCCTAGATTTAAAGATGAAGCTAAAATAAACTGAAATGCGAACAAAAAAAGTTCATCTTAGCAGAAAAACTAGTTAAAGTTAGTAATGAACAAAGTTGAAATTAGCAGAAAGAAATTAAAAGTATCAAAAACACAATGAAACTAGTTAACATAAACTAAAAGGAGCAAAAAAAAAGCCTTAATTAGCAGAAAAACCCCAAAAGGAGCGCTGAAATGCTGAAGTAGTAGAAACAGAAGAAACGGTAAAACAAGCAGAAAAAGGTTGTAAACAGCACAGAAACATGGTAAAATAAAGTTAAATACAGTGCCTTGTGAAAGTATTCGGCCCCCTTGAACTTTTCAACCTTTTGCCACATTTCAGGCTTCAAACATAAAGATATAAAATTTTAATTTTTTGTGAAGAATCAACAACAAGTGGGACACAATCGTGAAGTGGAATGAAATTTATTGGATGTGTCAAACTTTTTTAACAAATAAAAAACTGAAAAGTGGGGCATGCAATATTATTGGGCCCCTTTACTTTCAGTGCAGCAAACTCACTCCAGAAGTTCAGTGAGGATCTATGAATGATCCAATGTTGTCCCAAATGACTGATGATGATAAATAGAATCCACCTGTGTGTAATCAAGTCTCCGTATAAATGCACCTGCTCTGTGATAGTCTCAGGGTTCTGTTCAAAGTGCAGAGAGCATCATGAAGACCAAGGAACACACCAGGCAGGTCCAAGATACTGTTGTGGAGAAGTTTAAAGCCGGATTCGGATACAAAAAGATTTCCCAAGCTTTAAACATCCCAAGGAGCACTGTGCAAGCAATCATATTGAAATGGAAGGAGTATCAGACCACTGCAAATCTACCAAGACCCGGCCGTCCCTCTAAACTTTCATCTCAAACAAGGAGAAGACTGATCAGAGATGCAGCCACAAGCACCTGGGAGACACACCAAACATGTGGAAGAAGGTGCTCTGGTCAGATGAAACCAAAATCCAACTGTTTGGCCACAATGCAAAACGATATGTTTGGCGTAAAGGCAACACAGCTCATCACCCTGAACACACCATCCCTACTGTCAAACATGGTGGTGGCAGCATCATGGTTTGGGCCTGCTTTTCGTCAGCAGGGACAGGGAAGATGGTCAGAATTGATGGGAAGATGGATGGGACCAAATACAGGACCATTCTGGAAAAAAACCTGTTTGAGTGTGCAAGAGACCTGAGACTGGGACGGAGATTTATCTTCCAACAAGACAATGATCCAAAACATAAAGACAAATCTACAATGGAATGGTTCACAAATAAACGTATCCAGGTGTTGGAATGGCCAAGTCAAAGTCCAGACCTGAATCCAATTGAGAATCTGTGGAAAGAGCTGAAGACTGCTGTTCACAAACGCTCTCCATCCAACCTCACTGAGCTCGAGCTGTTTTGTAAAGAAGAATGGGCAAGAATTTCAGTGTCTCCATGTTCAAAACTGATAGAGACAAACCCCAAGAGACTTGCAGCTGGAACTGCAGCAAAAGGCGGTGCTACAAAGTATTAATGCAAAGGGGCCGGATAATATTGCATGCCCCACTTTTCAGTTTTTTATTTGTTAAAAAAGTTTGACACATCCAATAAATTTCATTCCACTTCACGATTGTGTCCCACTTGTTGTTGATTCTTCACAAAAAATTAAATTTTATATCTTTATGTTTGAAGCCTGAAATGTGGCAAAAGGTTGAAAAGTTCAAGGGGGGCGAATACTTTCGCAAGGCACTTCCAAAAGCCACAGGAGGAATGTCCTTAATGAACAAACGTTTTGATAAATGGATCGTAGAAATAGTACAGCCATCGTGAAACGAGCTACGTGCCAAAAAACAAAGAAAAACGGCTCTCGATAGTGAGAATGCTTAATAAGCATTCACACAATGAAATAACACAAACCCACAAAACAAACTTTACAAACACAACAAGTACACACCTGATAAGAGTCAAAGATCCCTGTTGAACTGGCATTAGAGTAATCTGTGGCATGGACACATCCTAAAATAGACAAACAATAATTATGTAACTAATAATGTACCAAGTCTAAAAAAGGTTATACAAAAAACATGTGTATGATGTCCTGGCTGTTTTGTTTTTCTACCTCCTCTCTCTCAGAGGGGTGAACTGAAACATTCCTGAGAAGTTTAAGCAACCAGTGAAGCAAGAAGATTGGAAAGACAAGGAGCAGGAATCTGACTGAGTCTTAATATCCTGTTGGACTCCACAGCATGGATCACACCGTGCAGCTGGACTCTGAGCTCAAAGATGGAGGTGGCTGCACGTAATTACTGCCACCAACCTTTTGTTAGTTTGAACAGGAGCCAAGTATCTATTGTTCCGAAGCAGCAGTTGCCTTCATCGATTGCTTGACGAACCTGGAAAAAGAACAAAAACATAAAGATGAAAGGGGGTGGCGAGTGCAGGAGCGTACAGCACGTTCCTGCTGTGACTTAATGAGCCTTCTTGTGTTTAGTGCACAGCAGGTTCATTCTGAAAATAAACCCCATTACATAAATGGGCTTACTTCCATCATTTATGTGTGCTTCAGGTTTTGTCACAAATGTCTGCTGATAAAAATTAGTTGCAAAAGTCACTTTATCAAAATTTCACCAATTTCACTGTAAAAGATGATTCAGTAAACAATACGTCTTCAAACAACCTCAATTCTAAAAGAAAAGATAAAGAATAACAGAATGCAACAATTTGCAAATCTCATAAAATCAATATTTTATTAGCGATGGAACAAAGTGAATCAGATCAAATCAGAAATGGCCTGATTTAAAAAAAACAAGTTTTTTTTATGACAACACATCTTGAAAAAGTTAGGACAGAGGCAACAAAACAGCTGGAGGAGCATTTCACAACTAATTAGGAAATAAATAAATAAATCAGCAGCAAGAGATCAGCAGCAAGAGATCAGCAGCATGGATAGTCTGCAGCACATATCAGGTAGGTGTGTTTATTCCGTCTTAAGTCACGACCATCTCCTTTGTCTTCTTCACATTGATGTGAAGGTTGTTCTTCTTGCAACAACTCTCCAAGTGTTCCACCTCCTGCCTGTAGCTGGACTCATCGTTTATGATGCATCCCACCACCGCTGTATCATCTGCAAACATTACAATATGACAGCCTGGATGGGTCGGTGCACAGTCATATGTGAGCAGAGTGAACAGGAGGGGGCTCAACACACAGCCCTGGGGGAGCCAGTGCTGAAGGTTATGGTGGAGGAGGAGAAGTTGTGGATCCTCACAGACTGTGGTCTGTTGGTTAAGAAGTCTAGGACACAGTTGCATAGAGAGGGACTTAGTCCTAATGTGAGTAGTTTGTCCATCAGGGTCTGTTCATAATATCATCACAAATAAATCTTAGCTTAAAAGAAAAGGCTGAATCTTTTTTTTTTCTTCAGGCCCTATGGGGCCACAGCACTAAAAATAATTCTGGTTCTGTTCTGAACATCACAACATGGGCTCAGGACCACTTCCTCAAATCATCGTCTGTAAACACCGTTCATTGTGTCCGTCAGGGAATTTTGGTCAAGGTTTACGGATGTTTTTAACTACTATGGCTGAGAATGTTAACTGCTAATGAACCATGTGTTTGAGTTAGCAGATGGTTCTTTTCTCTCTCAGAGGGAGCTGAATGATTGGATCCTGCATGTGCAGCTGGCATTCCAAGGACACCGGTCTGCCTGTGAGCTGTGAGAGCTGGTAAGTTTATAAAAACAAGCCTCGCACACTGTCCGTGGCAGTGAATGGGCTCCATGCATGTAACTCCTGTACATCTACCTTGTTGTAAAAATCTGCCCTTGCAAGTAAAACTGGTTAAAAATCTTCTCCTGTTGTCGAGTGTGGCTTCTTTGAGTAAGTAAGATGAATACAGGATATTTTTATCCAACAGTTCTATCCACAAATGATGCTTAATGCTCTATTACTCAAATAAGAAGACATACTGTATGTTAACACCATCCAGAAACAGCTGAGTTCTCCGAATCAATGTTGATTTAAAATGATCTAAGACAAAATGGGAAACCAGTATTCTGTGGTCAGACGGATCCCAATCTTAAATTCTTTTTGGAAACCAATGATGACATGCCCTTCATAGTCAACAGGAGGAGGACCGTCTGTTTTTGAAGGTACATTAATATCGGTGGCATGGCCAGTCTATGCATCTGAAAAGGCACCATCAGTGCAAAAAAGTATACATAGTATTTAAACAAACTATGCTATCAAACTATCAAGGGATGCCTTGAATATTTAAGCAAGACAATGCTAAACCTCATACTGCATCCATTACAACAGCATGGCTTCGTAGTCAGAGTCCAGGTGCTGAACTGACCTACCTAAAGTCCAGACCTCTCGCCAACTAAAACATTTGGTCCATCATCAAACAAAATACCCAGTAAAGACCCAGAATTGTTGAACAGGTAGAATCCTACAACAAACAGGAGTGGGAGATCATTTCATCCAAAAACAGTTAAAAAGCTGGTCTCCTCAGTTCCTGGATGTTTACAGACTGGAGTAACAAGAACAGAGGATGCTTCACAAGAGTCCCAACTGTTTTAAGATGTGTTGCCGTTATTGAATTCAAAACGACCTTATTTTATATTAGTTTAAACAGTTGATATTTTTACCATGCTCCATTAAAAAAAAAGGATTTATAAGATTTGCAAAGCAATGCATTCTGTTTTGTTGACACAATGTTCCAACATTTTTGCAACTGAGGTACAATTTGTTAAACTACTTGTATAGTATTGATTTACTGAGGTTACTGTAGCTTTTATATATAAAAATATTTTCAAAATAAGGAACAGTTTCAGTTTAGTAGCTGCGTTCGAACACTTTACTGTACACGTCAGCTGCCCACTTTGAGGCGGGAAGGAAGGAGTCCACACACCTGCTTGTAATGTGCCAAAACCCACACGAGGCGAAAAGTGACATGTTGAGTGGAAAAGACGATGAGACTTGCTGCGAGGGACCGTTTCTGCCGGGTCAGGAAGTAAACAACCTTCATTACGCTGTGAATTATCTGAGCATGTTGGAAAAAGACAAAGAGATAATGTAAGAAAGAACGTCATGTTCAAACCCAGTTTAAATCCAGTCTGACTCAAGTGTTTGTCGTCTTTAGGAAGTTGCCTTAGATGTTTCTAAAAAGTGTTAAAAGCTTTTTTTTTTTAATATACTTCCCTCATTACTTTTCAGTTGGAAACTGCTGGCAACTTCAAGTTCAAGGTTCTTTATTGTTATTCGCATCACATGTGGTACATGAGGTGGAACGAAATTGTGTACTCAAGCTCCCAGTTACATCCAAAAATAGCAAAAATATAAAGTATAAAAAGAAACAGTATATTCAGGGGTGTACCAACTTTTGTGAGTAAATGTGATTTTTGAAACCTGTTTAATAGTTCTTCTTAGAACCATCAAAGGCAGTTCATTTTCAGTTTGAGTTGTTTTTGGGGCATCTGCATTTCAGAAAATGCAGCAGATTATATTTTAAAGAACTGCTTAAAAGACTCTTTTAAGCACAGTCTCTTTGGGCAGCTGTGGACGAGTGGTTAGAGCAGTCGTCCTCCAGTGCAAGGGTTAGGGGTTCAAATGCACCAGCAGTCACATGCCAAAGTGTCCCTGGGCAAGACACTGAACCCCTCATTGCCTCTGATGTGTGTCCCATCGGTGTATGAATGTGATAAAGCTCTGATTAGCCTCTTTAGAATGATTTGTTCAGTTAGCTTTGTAGAAATATAGTAGAGTGTATGAATGGGTAAATGAGGCACAGATTGTTTTGTAAAGAGCTTTGGAGTATCTTGATAAGATCGAAAGGAACTAGATAAGTCCAGTCCATTTAGCATTTACTCTTGAATCTTTCATTATTTTCCATCATAAAAGCAACACATTTTAACACAGCTGCAAATTGATTGGCCAAAGAAATGTAACTGGTTTTTGGTCCCTTGATTGACTGTATAAATGCACCTCTATAGCCCACTATGACAAAAATCAAAACTACTTGGAAGCAACAAGCAAAAAGCTGTCAAGCACAAGTTTGTTTTGTTAGTTTCTGAAAGCAAAAACAAAACATGCAGGAATGGAACACCAGTGAGGCGTGGCGGTTATAGCACTGAGAGAAAGTACAACGTGATAGCATGCCTTTTCACAAAACACTCACAGTATGGCTGCAAACATGGGCCCCTCTCAAAACCATCAGGCCGTTCATTAATCGCTTATTGAACTGACCACATCCTGCGATGATGTAAGCTTAGATTAATGAAGCTGACGTCACAGAATCAAAGGAAGTATGGAGGTGTGATGTAAAGCTCAGCAGCGTTGATGCAGAATGCTACACATGAAATGAGTATTGGACAACCATAAATACCAAGGCAGCATAGTCAAACAGACAGCCAGTCATTGCTAAATAACATCATTGAACTTCTATGTTGGCATATAATGACTGTCAAGACCTCCATTGATGCAAAATAGTGGTTTAAATTCAATCCTTCCTCAAACCTGTGCTGACCAGCAAGTAAGCATTCTAACATAGAAATTATACAGACCCTTTCCAAAAAAATTAGAATATCATGGAAAAGTTGTTTAACTTCCATAATTCCATTCAAAAACTTAATCTTTAATAGATGGTAGATTCAGGTCCCACAATTTAAACGATTTCAAGTATTTATTTGTTTATTTTTACACAATTTGGGCTTCCAGCTCATGAAACCCACGAAAACAGGATTTCAAAAAATTAGAATACTGTGAAGACATCAGTCCACACTTCTCAGTTTTTGCAGAAAAAAGAAAAAAATAATGGGATCACAACAAAAATCAATCAAAATATGACACTTTCAAAACAATATGTCAATCTTCAGTACTTGGTTGTGAATCCCTTTGTCTTAATCACTGCCTCGATGCGACGTGGCATTGAGTCAATCAACCTGTGGCATTGACTGGGAGTTATGGAAGCCCAGATTTCCTTGATGCTGTCAGCTCTTCTTTGTTGTTGGGTCTGGTGCTCCTCATTTTCCTCTTGAGAATACCTCATAGATTCTCAATGGGGTTTAGGCCCGGTGAGTTGGCTGGCCAGTCAAGCACTGTGGCATGGGCACCAGGTTTTGGTGCTTCTGGTGGCATGGGCAGGGGCAAAGTCCTGCTGGAGGATGAAATCTGCATCTCCATACAGATCCTCAGCAGAAGGAATCATGAAGTCCTCTAAAACATTCTGGTAGACTGTTGTGGTGACCTTGGATTTAAGAAAGCAGAGTTTACCAACACCTGCACTGGACATTGCACCCCAAATCATGACTGACTGTGGATATTTCACACTGGACCACAAGCAGTATGGGTTCTGTTCCTCACCCTTCTTCCGCCAAACCTTTGGACCTTGATTTCTGAATGAAAGGCACAACTTTACTTTCATCAGAAAAGAGGACCAAGGAACCCGACTGTTGTAGCCCATCTCCCAGATGCATCTGAATGTGGTGGTTTTTGAAGTTGTGGCTCCCGCCTCATTCAACTCTTTCTGGATCTCTGACAGATTCTGGAATCTTCTCTGTTTGATAATCCACTGAAGCCCACGGTCATCTCTTTTGCTGGTGCATCTTCTCCTGACACATTTTGCCCTTCCACTAGACTTTCCATTGACGTGCTTGGACACAGCACTCTGTGAACAGCCAGCCTCCTTAGCTATGAACTTTTGTGGCTTACCCATCCTACGGAGGGTATCAATGATGGTCTTCTGGACAGTTATGTCTGCAGTCTTCCCCATATTGAACCGAACTGAAGCAATTTAACGACACCTGGGGAAACCTGTGCAGGTGCTTTGAGTTTAGTAGATGATTAGTGTCACACTCAGTTTAAAACATTCATGTCCTGCAAAATTTGGGCTGATTTCTCTACAGTATTCAAATTTTTTGAAATCCTGTTTTCGTTGGTTTCATGAGCTGGAAGTCCAAATTATGTAAAAATAAACAAATAAATACTTGAAGTTGTTTAAATTGTGGGCCCTGAATCTACCATCTATTAAATATCAACTTTTTGAATGGAATTATGGAAGCTAAACAACTTTTCCATGATATTCTAATTTTTTGGAAAGGGTCTGTATTGCACTCTGGAACAGGCAACTCTCCCCTCCGGTCTATAGACAGCTATGATGATCCTTTTCTCCAAGTAATCAGCTGCAACCAATTTGAACAACCACTGACCAATAGCTCAGATGTAAGTAGTCATGCAATGTTTTGATGCCTGTCATGCTCCATATAAACGCATACCTCCCACCAGACCTTGACACACACCAGTTTGCTTGTAGAGCAAACAGATCAGCACAAGATGCCATTGTTTTTGCCCCCAGTGCAGTGCAGTACCACGTGGACCACCATGGGAACTAAGTCAAGATGTTTTTCATCAGTTACTGTTGGCTTTAACACAGTCATCCTGGACACAATACATGAGAAGCTGACAAACCTGAACTTTCCCCCTCACACCTGCACCTGGATCAAGGATTACCTTACCACCACCCCAGCCCCCTTTTCTTATCCATTTTGACAGTAAGCATAGACTCTTTCCAGGATTGTGCACCGAGTCCTTTCCTATACACACTGTACACTCATGACTGTGTTCCAGTCCAATCTAGTAACACCGTTATAAAATTCACAGATAACAGCGCAGTGGTGAAACTTTTTACAGGAGCGTATGAGTCAGCATACAGGGACGGTGCTCTAAGAACAACCTGCCGCTCATCATCAGTAAAATCAAAGAAGATATTGGTGGACTTCAGCAGGTACAAAAGGGACCACCCTATAGCTGCTTCTCCATTGTCAAGTACCACTCTAATCGCTCCATTTCTATTCAGTTTTACACAAATGTAGGTGTCCTTCACTCATTGAGCGGGATTATCAGAAGGTGGGAGCTCTGGTCGAGCTGGGGTGGCCAGTTTCTCAGACACCTTCGGGTAAACTTGCTTGTTTTTTTATTGCTCTGTTGAACTTGTGTGTTTTTCTCATCATGTGCTTGTCTGTCAAAATTAATAAAAAGGTTTGCACTTCATCATTCGACCACAGAATAACCTGTGATTTGCAGCTCTCCTTCTCAGTAACGTACACCACACTCAACGATCAGATTGAAAACAGCGCTTCAGAAGGAGTTTGCAGGTACTGCCTTGGCTCATACAGTGACGTCAACTCACGGGCCAATCAATGGCTGCAGATTGCTGATGTCAAAATTTCTTGCTCGGCTTACTTGGAACCATAGCTGAAGCGGTTCCAAAAACCTAGCCGGAACAGGAAATTGAGACACATTTGGCTGATGCCGAGTTGATGCGAGCTGAGTAAAGCGACGCCCGTGGAGAAGGGGCTTATTTAAACAGTGACTGTGTGAAGATGGTGTCCTTTAGGTTTCTGGAGACACACATAACAAAAGACCTCCCCTGGTCATCCAATAGTCTGGCAGTGGTTATAAAGGCTCTGCAGTGACTGCACTACCTCAGAGTGCTGTGTCAATATGATCTACAGAAAAAACTGTTGGTAGTCCAAATGCTTCACCATTGAGAGTATAATGGCACACTATAGCTGCACATATGTAACATATTTAGTAAGAGGAGATCTGCACCAAAGGACAAAGGATCAAAATAATTTCATGTCTCAAGAGGACATGACATTCTGTAAGTTTTATTATCCAAAGTTTTATTTATTTCAAAGCATGCCAATTAAACTATAAATCAAAACAGGAACGTGTTTTTTTTTTTACTACACCTATATAAATATCTGAATCATTATTGATTTATCCTGTAAAAATGTAAAGGAGGTAAACAGACTCACATTCATTGTGCAGGATCTATTCCAGGATTTTACCAGCTCTGCAGCTCTTTGGTCCTGCCAGCTGATAAAGTTGTGAAAAGGAACTCCAGTTTTTCTGACAAAACGGGCAGACAGAAAGAAAAGCATGAGATATCAAGTTTAAAACAAGTGCGGCAATGCAATCTCTTAGAAGTTTGCCGGAAATTTGTGGGGGGCTTTTAAAGCAATGGGAACACAGCATGATTAACATATTTACCTGTCCCAAGTTGTGAAGGTTGCTCGTTGAGTTGAGATGCCAAGAGCTTCTATCTGGCCCATCTGAACTCCTGCATCTACACAAGTACAGCACATCAAAACACACGATAACATGGTTCTAATGAAAAACTGTGATGTTATTGCTTCTTTGGGTGCAAAAATGTTACAAATGGTTTCTAATTTAATATGGACAGATCCTCTTCTATTTCTGCACATGAAAATCAGATGGAATGCAAAATATAGCTACTTAAATAAGCCTGGAGTCTAATTAGCACTTAATGATAATAAATGCTGTTTAAATGTAGATCTGTTCAACTAGACCTCAAGTTTTAGCAAAGAGCACCTGAAGAACTGATAAGGCAGCTTCTTTTATGAACTATTTTCCATTTTTGCTTTGAGAAATAAAACCAAAACGGAGTATTTAACATCATTTGTGGAGTCTGTAATTGTTTTCACTTTGTTACTGAGAGTTGATGGAGTGTGTGTGAAATTAATTGTGTCAGCTCTCCTCCCCCGGTGGAGTCACAGGTGGATGTGATGACAGGACGTGGAGCAGCTGTACCTTGCACAGCTCCTTTGACCACAGAGGTAAAACCCTTCCACAGTGCATCTGGGTCCATCTCCACATGTCCCACCTCTGGATACAACGGGACAACCTAAAACAAAAATTTAATGAAAAAGTATAAAATATAAAGAAAGAAAATAGCCAGTAAATATTGTAGAAAATAAGATGTGTATTTTATGAAACCAAAACCATCCTAAAGATCCAGTCCCCCGGCACAAACAGAGTAATGTTGTGTATGCTGTTCAGTGTCAGGAGGGTGATCAGTCTTATATTGGGGAAACTAAACAGTCACTGGCCAAAAGGATGGCCCAGCACAGAAGATCAACATCATCTGGCCAGGACTCTGCGGTCTACACTCATCTCCAGGCCAGCGGTCACTCTTTCAGGGATGAAGATGTTCACATCCTTGATAGAGAGGAACAATGGTTTGAGAAATGAGTGAAGGAGGACATCTTTTTGTCCATCATTAAACAGGGGTGGAGGCCTCCATGTCCAATTATCACCTTCCTACAATGCTGTTATTGCTAGTATCACTCAGCCCTTTGTGAATAGCAAGTGGCCATCAGGGCACTAGCAACCAATTGTTAGGCTGATGGTCCTCATTTAGCATGTGAACAACTAGTTTTGGCTGTCACCAGCAAACTGGTCCACTACGAGAAGGTGCTATTTATAAGACTGAGTTTATTGCAGCTCCTCAAACTGAAGAAGTGTTTTGGATAAAAGATTAAATGTTTTTAAAAGAGAAGAATCCATCCAAACTTAACTTTTTTTTTTTGTTTAGATTTTTCTACCTGGATTATTGAACATTCATCAAGATATACTGTATTATGAAGCATTAAAATTAAAACGGAGAGGAGGAGACCGCGATTACCTTGCTGGTGCATGATCCTCGGATTTGTGCCTCCTTGTCGTAAACATGACACCTTATGGACGTGGTACCGACGTCCACTGACAGAATAAAGCTTTCCTTATTGTACCCGTTCCTCCGGCTGCCCATTGTAAACAGCCTAATGTCCTGTTATTCTTCAGACAAGTCCTCCGTCCTCCATGGTCGGCTCAGACGCTGCTTCCAGCATGAATGGATGGTGTGAATTGATAAAAAGTGAACTGTTGTGTTAAACCCGTGGACTTTGGTTTCATTCCAGCTCCAGTTCAACCTGTTCAAGCAAACAAACATGTTAGTAACACAGTTTGGACTCAGAGTTTCACCCTGTGTTGACAACACCCGGGTACACTTTAGTTCTGTGCGTCACTGTGATCCTACAAGCGATTATTTTCTGAAGTTGTCATACAAGCCAGAAATTTAACCAGAAGTTTAGCCTAAGGCTACACGGCTAGCTGCTAATATTTTGGTATTTGAGCTACTAATGATACAGTAAACGATCCTGTTTGAAAATTTTAGCTCGCTAACAATAGTTATCAGGCATTAAGTCACAAAACGGGTATTTCTGCAATTAAAATGGGGAATTTGTAAAGTTTTAGAAGTTAAATCGCGTTACCTAAAAGATTTAGCTCTATAGGCATCCGTAGAACACAGGAAGCGCATGCGCAGTAGGTGGGTGCGTTGCTGATGAGCTGTTCGCAGCACGTGTTTTTGTCGACATTTCCTGCTGGTTGTCTGTTTTACTCCATAAAATGGAAAAGGCAGATGTAAGAACTAACTTTTATTTAATTTATACTAATCAAACTTTAGAGTAGTTTAAAAATGTTTGAGTTAATTGGTTGTTTTCACGCGTGGTAAACTGTTAGGCAAACGTATTGGAAACGATGCCATTTTAGTCTTTCAGTCTTGGATAGTTTGCCGTTAGTTAGAAATATACTGCATCAGGCCATTTTTAAATGGTGTATGACCGGAATTGGTCAAAAATGCACATATTTTTTTTTTGCATTTTGTTTGTCCAGATTGCAAGACCAAGAAAAAGCAACGTGGTGAAAGATGACACCCCAAATACCGGCAAGTCCTTTTATTTGTGTTTATAGTTGTGTTAACCGCAGATTCTTCCGTGTGTTCAGTATGTTATGTACAGGTCTCTTGAAAATGAGTCCTCGTGACTCAGACTAACCAGTATACATGCAGGCTGAATGAATGTATTTTAACAAAACAAACAAACAAACAAAAAAAAGATTTGTTAAAACATCCATCCATTATCCAACATTTTTCAGTCAGGTCATCTGGACAGTTTCTTTTTTTTGTGCTGAAATGTTTCGCCTTCGATCAGGAAGGCTTCATCAGTCAAGGAAACACACAACAAAACTGATTATTCCCCCAACAGCTTACTTCAAAGTGGAACAAACCAGTTCTGCTTGTGATAAGATGGTCTCTTTGGTATGCCCCCTCCTCCATTGCCGGCCCTCTTCCTTGTTGACAATTTTGTCAAACTGGTTGAAAACAACAAAGTCCATGCTCCAGATGACCTGACTGAAAAATGTTGGATTGTATACCTGGATTATTGAGCATGGGCTTTGTTGTATCCATCCATTATCTTCTACTTGTTCTGAAGTCGGGTCACGGGGACAGCAGCTTGAGCAGGGAAGCCCAGTCAGTCTCTCCACAGCCACCTCTTCCAGACTTTCCGGGAGGATTCCAAGTTATTCCCAGGCCAACTGAGACATCAGAGTCTTCTCGGGGGGCCTCCTCCCAGTTGGACATGTCTGGGGCACCTCCCTAGGGAGGCATCCAGGGAGCATCCTTATCAGATGCCCGAACCACCTCAATTGGCTCCTCTCAATGTGGAGGAGCAGTGGTTCTACTGAGTCTCTCCTGGATAACCGAACTTCTCACCCTCTCTAAGGGAGAGTCCAGCTACCCTGCAGAGGAAACTAATTTCAATCGCCTGTATCCGCGATCTCGTTCTTTTGGTCACTACCCAGAGTTTGTGGCCATAGGTGAGGGCTGGAACGTAGACTGACCAGTAAACAGAGAGCTTTGCTCAGCTCTCTCTTCATTACAGTAAACTGTAATAGAGTCCGCAATACTGCAGAATAATGCACCAGTCTGTTTGCCAATCTCACGCTCCATTCTTCCCTTGTTAGTTAACAAAACTCTGAGTTACTTGAACTCCTCCACTTGAGACAGAACCTCATTACACCACTCTGTCTGTGTATGGGTGTTTTGTCTTTAGGGTGGACCAGCCTCTGTCTGAGAGTCCTGCTGGGTTTGAAATGTACTGGGATGTTGTGTTTGTTGAAGATCCTTCTGAATTTCTCTGATACTCCAGCAACATAAGGGATGACAATGTTTTTCCGTCTGTTGTTCCTTTTTCTGTTTATTAGTGTGTTTTGTAGATTTCCTCGCTGACTTGATAAAAGCCCAGTTAGGATATCCACATGTTTGAAGAGCTTCTTGAATGTGTTTCTGTTCCTTTTCCTTCCCTTCTGTCTTCGTGGGGACGCATTCGGCCCGATGTTGTAAAGTTCTGATGACAGAGAGTTTGTGTTCCAGTGGATGGTGGGAGTCAAACAGAAGATACTGGTCTGTGTGGGTTGGTTTTCTGTAAACTTCAATGTTGAGGCTGTCCTCTCTCTCCATCTGAACCAAACAGTCCAAAAAAGGCAGCTTGTTGTTGTTTGCATCCTCTCTGGTGAACTTGATGTTGTTATCGACCGAGTTAATGTGTCTGGTGAACGCTTCTATTTCCTTAGCTTGGATTTTGACCCAGGTGTCATCCACATAACGGAATCAATGGTTTGGCGTTGTTCCCTCATAGGAGTTTAGGGCTCTCTGTTCCACTTCCTCCATGTAGAGATTGGCAACAATGGGTGACACTGGAGATCCCATAGCACAGCCGTGCTTCTGTCTGTAAAAACTCATTGAACTTGAAATAAGTGGTGGAGAGGCAGAGATCCAACAGGGTGCAGATCTGGTCTGGGGTGAAGTTGGTCCTGTTGATTAAGGCCTTGTCTTGTACAAGTTGTTTTCTGACGGTTTCTATTGCTTCAGAGATGGGTATGCATGTGAAAAGAGAAGTCACATCATACGATACAAGGGTTTCTCCTGGGGTTAGTTTCAAGTGTTGAACTTTGTTAGCAAAATCAGTGGAGTTCTTTATGTGATAAGGTGTGTTTCCAACAAGAGGAGCTAAAATACCAACCAGATGTTTAGCAATATTGTATGTCACTGAGTTCATGCTGCTGACGATGGGTCTGAGTGGTGTATGATACAACAATCGATTGATTGTTTTCTCCTTTTCAAGTTTTTGCAGGTAATCTGTGACTTTCTTTTTGTAGGCACTGGTTGGGTCCCTCTTCAGGGTCTCGTGTTGCTGTCGCTCAGTAGTGTAGTTATTTTTTCCCGGTAATCAGAAGTGTTGAGGACTACTGTGCATCTTCCTTTATCAGCTGGTAAAATGGTGATGTTTTGGTCCTGGCTGAGTGATGTTACAGCTTTCCTTTCCTGTGGTGTGAGGTTTGAAGAAGGCGGTTTGGCACTGGAGAGGGTTGCTGATATTTTCATTCTGAGCTGTTCTGCCTCTCCTTCCATCAAGTTGTTGTTCCTAATCGCGGATTCAGTGGCCGTGATTAGTTCCACAACAGGTATTTCTTGAGGGGAGATGGCAAAGTTTAGTCCTTTTGCCAGCACATCTTTCTCAGGTTGTGTCAATGTCCTGTTAGACAAATTTCTAACCCACTGGTCATGAAAATTAGTGTTGGCGGATTGAATTGGTACATAAACCATTTTAATTTATTTTTTTTTGTGTGTGATATACAATTTACTGATTTAAAAGCATTCTAAATATAATGGCAAAAACTGCAACCTTGTCATGCACCATTGCTGAGACTGAAGGTTGTGGAGGAGTGGAAGCCTACTCTGACATTCTGTGACCCAGTACACATGATATCTGGCAGTCCTAAACCTTTTAATGTCTGTCTGTTACTGGCAGAACTTAAATCCAAGAAGAGCATCCTTGCATTGTTCCCCCAATGTTCCAGGTGGTTCGAAGCTGCGATAGTCATTTTCTGTGGATCTGTTCGTTCTCTACCAAGATTGTTGTGAAATAAACACATTTGTGAAAGTTCCTTGGAGTGGCAGCTGTTCTTTCATTCATATTAGTTTTTTGGATACTATATGTCATCTTAGCTGTATAAAAGTTGCAGTTTCTGTTGTAAATTTAAACACTTCTTAAATATCCCATGTACTGCTTTTATAGCAGCTTTTACAGTAGCTCCACTCCTGTTTCCTGGAATATCTTACAAAAAGATTTGAAGCTCTCGACCTTGACCTCTCTAAGTGGCTTTAAGAATCTGTTGGACTCCTGGCAGGGACCAATGCAGACATGTTCCTGTTTTTAGTTTTATACATTTGTCTTGGAATCTAGCTGTTTTTTTTTTTGTTGTTTTTTTTTTGTTACCTTTTTCCTTTTAGCCATCTTATTTGTTAAAAAAAAAAAAAAAAAAACTAGTATGAGTTTTTATAACTGCTTATTGTTGTTGCTGTTGTCCATTGTTGTCATCTTTCTTTGTTGAAATCAGGTCTCTCTTGTAAATGAGTCCTCGAGGCTCAATGGGATTTACCTGTATAAATAAAGGTTGATTGATATAGCTCTTGTGATTATGCATCTAATAGATTTTCTGTGTTTCTTACAGTAAGTAGGAAGAGAAAGGCAGACAGTGAGTCTGAAACTTCGCCATCAAAGACAACTAAGCCCATTAGAGATGGTAGGACTTCATTCTCTGACAGAATGGCACGCGCTCTGTTATTAAGGTTGTCTGTTATTCCTGATGAGGTGCCTCCTTCACTCGTTTTACTGCCATATTCTGTTGCAGACTTTTGTCTTTATGTTGGCAACCTGAACAACTGGAAAACGTCTCAGGAAATCAAAGATTCATTAGCAGTGTACTTCATGACCCACAGCCTTCTGTGTCAAGAGATCAAGTTGGATCCATCTCGGTGAGTAAAAGTTTATTTTCAGTGATGAGTTCTCAATTTAATAAATATTCCTGCCACATGAAATGATTAAAAACATTTTTTTTTTTTGTAATTATAGAAAACATGCATTTGTGGATATGGCCTCAGAAATGGACTTGAACAAAGCTTTGGCGTTGGATGGAGAGGAAATCCTTGATAAACCAATGAAGATCGCCAAAGCTAAAGTTAAAAGGAACGACGAAAAGAAGGTGAAATGTCCGAAAGTGGACAAAGAAGGTAAATCAATTTCTACATCTTTCTTTGGAATGTGTTGCTGGCCTCAGACACTAAAACCTTATTTTTTTACTGAAATGTAAAACAAGTGATATTTTAATTAAAAGAAGCTCACAAACCAAAACGTGGATCTTGTCTAACAAGTCAGGTCCTTTAAGTCATGTCCTCTGGATGGATTCTTCTTTGTTGAAACATTTCATCTTAAACGGGGGAGGCCTCTGTGTCCAACTGTCCACATCTTCCATTGCTGTTAGTACAAGTTTCACTCAGGCCTCTGTAAATAGCAAGCGGCCATCAGAGCACTAATGACCAATTGTTAGGCTGATGATCTTGTTTTTGCATGTGAACAACTAGTTTTTGGCTGTCACCAACAAACAGGTTGATCCTCTAAAGTGCTATTTATAAGACTGAGTTTGTTGCAGCGCATCAAACTGAAGAAGTATTTTGGATAAAATATGAAACGTTTGAACAAGAAGAATCGGTCCACAGGTCCTGACTTATCCTTGTCAGATGCATCTACCTGGATTATTGAGCATGCATCAGGATATGGATCATCATGGTTTCATTTTTTCTGCAATATACTCTAAAATGAACACAAGTTCAAGAGTCACTGCATTTTTTTTTCACCCCATACTGTCGCACAACTTTCAGTTTTTGAAGTGAGTTTTCATATGTGGTAACATTAAGAGCCAATATGTGACAGCTGATAAAATAATGTTTCTGTTTTTGTCAGTCAAAGATGGCAGATGTTTGTTCTTGAAGAATGTGCCATACAGCGCTACAAAAGAAGACATCAAGAAAGTCTTCCACAAAGCCATCGCCGTTCGGTTTCCTGGTGGAGCCAAAAGTCCAGATAAAGGGTGAGAGCCCCAAAACAACCTGCTTTATTGTTTTCTGTCTTATGTCGGTACCTGTACCATCTAAACATGATTTGTCTCAAACAGCATCGCCTTTGTGGAGTTTCAAAATAAAACGATTGCTAAGAAAATGCTTGGTAAAAAACGAAGTGCAAAGATTCAAGGTCGGGATGTGATTGTTGATACTGTAGGAAAAAGAAAGGTTCCTAAAGGTCACGCTGACAAGAAGAACACAAAGGGTACGTAGCTGTTGATGACGTGACAATTAGCTAAAGTCATGGTTGTGTATTTGAAACTGAGTTTTTATCTAATAATGACACACGTCCTGTTTTTCACAGCTGCTCCTCCAAATATCTTATTTGTAACTAACTTGCCTAAAAATGTGAGAGAATATCAGCTGAAGAAAATTTTTAAGAAAGCCGTCCGTATCAGCATATCTAAAGTCAAAGACAAACCTAAACGGTAGGTCTGCACACCGATTTGTTGGGATTATTTTTATTTACTTATAAAATCCTGTGAAAATTCTCATATAATTTTTTACTTCTCTGCAGATATGCCTTTGTTGAGTTTAGAACAGTGAAGGATGCTAAGAGGGTGCTGCATTCCTCCAAAGGTATTAAAATCTGCAATACAGTAGCCAAAATAGGCGTTTGTCGTAATAAACGGAAGCCTCAGAGTGAAGAAGGTATTTTTGATCATTATTTAATACTTTTTTTTTTTGTTGTTCAGTTTTTTCCAGTTTAAATCAAATGTGTACTTTAAAATTTTTTTGATCTAGTCTCATCGAAAACTCTGTTTGTGGTGGGCCTCGCCCCAAAGACGACGGCAGAAACACTGAAAAGTGCTTTTGAAGGAGCCGTCGGTGCAAGAGTTGCTTTACATAAAGAGACAGGAGAGTCAAAAAGGTTCCTTTCATGAATTGTTCCTTGTATTAAGTGAAATTATAAAAAGCTTACAGTATTTGGGTCTTGCCCTTGTTTTATGATTTTTATTTTTTTATTTCAGGTTTGGCTTTGTGGACTTTGAGAGTAAAGAAAGTTGCAAAGCTGCCAAAGACACAGTGAAGGACTGTTTGATCGATGGCTGCAAAGTGACTGTAGACTTCACCTTATCTAAAGGTGAAAGAGGGCAGCAGGGTGCTGGAGCGGGCTCAGCAGGTCCTCCCAAAGGGGCAGCAGCTCACTGAGGAAGACTAAGTTAATAAGACAAAGGTATGTGTAGCTTATCGCAACAAACAAAAACTTCATAAAAATGAATTGATTCGTGATGAAGTTAGGGTCCACGAACACTGACCTCAAATAATTTGAAAAGAAACCAGGCGCCTCATGTATCAACGGTGCGTACGCACAAAAAGATTGCGTGCGTCAGGTTCCACGCACACGTCGGGATGTATTAAAATGCACGTCATGTGAAAGTGCGCGTAAATTCACACACGTTTTTGACCTGCTGTGAGAACGTGCTTCACGCAAACCTGTTCAGTCCACAGTCTACAACATACTGAAACTCATGTAAATACATCGAAATATGACTCTATGGTTTTCTAAACTCGAAGGATATTCAAATGTTTTTTTCACAATTTGAGCATTTTTGGTTTAAATCCTAACAAGGAAACTGATCCACATTCAAACAACAGAACATCTATCATGCCTCAAAAATGCCCTAAACAACCTCACTGCAATGTAAACTCTAAAGTTTCGTATATTTTTGTCACATGTAGAAGTCAGCATGTTGCATGCCTGCAAGGTGCACAGACAGAGGAGGAGCATAAAGTGTGTGTGAATCATCTAAATGGACTGCACTTGTATATCACTTTTCTATCTTATCCAAACACTCAAAGTGCTTTACAACACAATCTGTGCCCTCATTTACCCATTCATACATCACTCTACTAGATCTGTACAGAGATAATTGAACAAATATTCTAAAGAGACTAATCAGTGCTTTGAGATCATATTCATACACTGATGGGTCTGATGGGCATTTCATTCTCACTGAGAGGAAAATGATGCCAGATCATCAAATTAATTCAGAATAACTCATTTCTGATAACTCCTCAGGTCAACAAGATGTACGTCATCACATTAGAGTCCATCCATATGGAAATTTCGGCTATCACCGATACTGATATTGGGCGGGGCAGGCTATTGCCGATAACCAATGTAATGGCTGAAAAATTTGAAGCTCTGTCCACCCCAAAAGAAGTGAAATAAACGAGTGGAGCAGGGCTTGTTTATTTAGTGCAGGTTTTGGCAGCCATGAAGCTAAGCTAATCTGATCCACGCGACGTAGTCCCACAGTAGGTTTACAAATGGTGCATTGGTCATAAAAACAGTCTTCCTGACGTGCGTTCATATTTTCTATCCTCCACTATTCAGCATAAAGTTATCAAGTGTGTTACAAAACTTTAAATTAAACAAAGAAATGCCTTTCTCTGTTCATTGTTTAAACAGTCACTTATGATGAAGGTCTAATTGGTACAGACTGCAGCAGCGTTTTGTTTTTTCTTTGCAGAGAAGTAAAGGTTTCAGACAAATAATGCATTTCATTGAGGATGACAAAGATAACGTTACTAACAATTATATATTTTACTTATACGCTAGATTAAGGCTGGACAATAATTTGATAACGATATATATCACGATATACTTTTATTTAATAACGATGATATGAGTTTTAAGCACTATTTCGATACGATTACAGCGTTTCACTGACGCATTTCTTTTTCTGTTCGGGTTGAAGCGGCCACTTCAGTTTCAACCCGAACAGAAAAAGCCGTGACACAACTAAGTAAGTGCGCGGTGACGTACACCACAGCTCGAAGGAGTCGGCGATAGCAGGCTAGGCTAGGCTCCAACGTGCGTTAAGTTTTCACTTCAAAATGAGTGCCTGTGACCGTCAGAATGTGACTGAACAAGCTTTTGCAAAGAGAAAGCAAATGACGACTGATGAGAGAGGAAAGACTAATTCTGCGGTGTGGAAGTAGTTCAGCTATCTTTTAAATGTGCAAAATGTGTCTGAGAGTCGTTTCAACTAGTGGTGGGAACGCATCTAAAACTTGTTCCACCATCTGAAGAGTTTCCACTCGATAGAACATGTTGAGAGTCAGAAGACGAAGCACAATAAAAGTCTGAGCCAACATGTCCCTGAAGCAACACCCCCAACTGTATGAAAAGAGAAACGCATGACGTTTCCTGCGTGGGTTAGGTTATGTTGTGGTTTAAAGTTAAAACTATTAATATTGACAAAGTTGAGTTTTATGTTTGATGGTGATTTCAATTTTTTTTGAAGGCTAAATACAAATAAAAGGTGAACATTAATTTATTTGTACAGTTTGTACAGTTTTTCTGAGGCGCTTATATTGTTTATATCGATATCGGAATTATATCGTTATCGACCGAAATTAAGAGATATATTGTGATAAAAGTTTTGTCCAGTATCATTCAGCCTTACGTTAGATTTATTGTTCTGGATGAAGTTTTAAAAAGCAATAGCCTATGCTAGGTTATCTAAATGTTAGCTTGCTAACTTGAGAGGCATGTGCCTCTGTGTGCTAAAAGTGAAAGTTAAAGCAGTCATGACTTGAAAGTAGTCTGCATGCGCCCTCTGCTGGATACCTTGTACAATTTCGGCTTGCTCCCAGCACGGTAAGGGTGGAAATTAAGTGTTTAAATTGGAGTATAATGGGACAATTATCACAGATTCGATATGTCCCCAAATGCATATACAGGCCTAAAATATCGGCTCCTACCGATATATCAGCCATGCTCTTATCACATATGCAGTAAACTTTAAAGAACATCCATTCATTATCTTTACCCGCTTCCTTTTTGGGTCGCGGTGGTCAGGTCACTGGTACCTGTGTCCAGCCATCAATGTGCGAGAGGCGGGGGACATCCTGGACAGGTCTCCAGTCCATCACAGGGACACATGGAGACAAACATCCATTCTCACCTAGGGACAATTTAGATTTACCAATCAGCCTACATGATTTTGGTGTCTGGGAGGAAACCGGAGTACCAGAGAAAACCCACACATGCACAGAGTGAACATACAACCTCCACCCATAAAGACTTACATCAATATCTGCACCTTGCAGCAGTCCGCTTGGAACCTCAAACAAGGTGGTCCCATAAACTGAGCTCAGTGGGCTGGATACAGTGCCTTGCGAAAATATTCAGCCCCCTTGAACTTTTCAACCTTTTGCCACATTTCAGGCTTCAAACATAAAGATATAAAATTTTAATTTTTTGTGAAGAATCAACAACGAGTGGGACACAGTCGTGAAGTGGAATGAAATTTATTGGATGTGTCCACTTTTTTAACAAATAAAAAACTGAAAAGTGGGGCGTGCAATATTATTGGGGCCCCTTTACTTTCAGTGCAGCAAACTCACTCAAGAAGTTCAGTGAGGATCTATGAATGATCCAATGTTGTCCCAAATGACTGATGATGATAAATAGAATCCACCTGTGTGTAATCAAGTCTCCGTATAAATGCACCTGCTCTGTGATAGTCTCAGGGTTCTGTTCAAAGAGCAGAGAGCATCATGAAGACCAAGGAACACACCAGGCAGGTCCGAGATACTGTTGTGGAGAAGTTTAAAGCCGGATTTGGATACAAAAAGATTTCCCAAGCTTTAAACATCCCAAGGAGCACTGTGCAAGCAATCATATTGAAATGGAAGGAGTATCAGACCACTGCAAATCTACCAAGACCCGGCCGCCCCTCTAAACTTTCATCTCAAACAAGGAGAAGACTGATCAGAGATGCAGCCAAGAGGCCCATGATCACTCTGGATGAACTGCAGAGATCTACAGCTGAGGGGGGAGAGTCTGTCCATAGGACAACAATCAGTCGTACACTGCACAAATCTGGCCTTTATGGAAGAGTGGCAAGAAGAAAGCCATTTCTCAAAGATATCCATAAAAAGTGTTGTTTAAAGTTTGACACAAGCACCTGGGAGACACACCAAACATGTGGAAGAAGGTGCTCTGCTCACATGAAACCAAAATCCAACTGTTTGGCCACAATACAAAACGATATGTTTGGCGTAAAGGCAACACAGCTCATCACCCTGAACACACCATCCCCACTGTCAAACATGGTGGTGGCAGCATCATGGTTTGGGTCTGCTTTTCATCAGCAGGGACAGGGAAGATGGTCAGAATTGATGGGAAGATGGATGGGACCAAATACAGGACCATTCTGGAAGAAAACCTGTTTGAGTCTGCAAGAGACCTGAGACTGGGACGGAGATTTATCTTCCAACAAGACAATGATCCAAAACATAAAACCAAATCTACAACGGAATGGTTCACAAATAAACGTATCCAGGTGTTGGAATGGCCAAGTCAAAGTCCAGACCTGAATCCAATCAAGAATCTGTGGAAAGAGCTGAAGACTGCTGTTCACAAACGCTCTCCATCCAACCTCACTGAGCTCGAGCTGTTTTTTGCAAGAAAGAATGGGCATGAATTTCAGTGTCTCCATGTTCAAAACTGACAGAGACAAACCCCAAGAGACTTGCAGCTGGAACTGCAGCAAAAGGCGGCGCTACAAAGTATTAACACAAGGGGGCCGAATAATATTACACGCCCCACTTTCAGTTTTTTATTTGTTAAAAAAGTTTGACACATCCAATAAATTTCATTCCACTTCACGATTGTGTCCCACTTGTTGATTCTTCACAAAAAATTAAAATTTTATATCTTTATGTTTTGAGCCTGAAATGTGGCAAAAGGTTGAAAAGTTCAAGGGGGCCAAATACTTTCGCAAGGCACTGTATCAACAGTGGGGAGGCCTTGAGTTGTTGCGGTGTGGTGTGGAACCGATGAGGGTTGAGACAGTGGCAAAGCACCATAAATCACTTGTAGAGCAAATTGGGGGGGTAGTTCCCAAACTGTGGAGGCAATGAAAGTGATAAAGCACTGACTAGTCTCTAGAATAATTTATTCAGATTAGAATTGTAGTGTTGCATGAATGTGTGGTGTGTGTGTGTATGAATAAATGAGGGCACAGATTGTTGTAAAGCACTTTGAACATCCTGGTTGGCTAGAAAGGTGCTACATAAGTACAGTCCATTTACAACTCCCCTGTTAATGTGTGTGTGTCTTTGCAGCTCAGAACATAACTTTGACCCAATGTTGTCACATTTATTTCTTCAGCCTGCTGCTTATTTTGATATTTTCTAATTGTTTTAAATTGTGAACTCTTGGCCATTTCATATTTAAACCTTTTGTGCACAAACACAATATTTTTCAAATAAATGTGCTTTTTTTATTATTTTAGGGAGAAGACATAAAACTGGTTCATCATAGACTGTTGAAGAAGAGAAATGTAAAAGTGGAGTTTCACTGGAGCAGTTCCACAGTTTATTATTCCATGTTGTTCCCTGAAGCTTGTGTACAGGCTCATTCTGTTAGAGTTCATGTTGCTGGTGACGTCTGTCAGTTTTGTTGTTATCTTATACTCCTAGTCTTTACTTAATTTGAAACAAATTGTCAAATTGTTTGAAGATTATGTAATTTTGTACTGACGATAAACATTTATTTAAAAACAAACCATCAGTTCTTGGTGTTTTTGTTAAATTTTTTCCAGAATTCAAAAAGGTGAAACTCCTGTCAAGTCAAAAAGAATTATTCCATCCATCCATTATCTTTACCCGCTTCTTCCTTTTTAGGTTCACTGGTGCCCATATCCAGCAGTCATTATGCGAGAGGTGGGGGACACCCTGGACAGGTCTCCAATCTATCAGAGACAACCATTCACACCCTCACTCACACCTAGGGACAATTTAGTTACCAATCAGACTAACGTGCATGTTTTTGATCTGTGGGAGGAAACCGGAGTACCCGGGAAAAACCCACACATGCACGGAGAGAACATGCAAACTTCATCCAGAAAAGTCCCTGACCGGGATTCGATCCGGCGACCACACTGAGACGACAGCTCTACCAACTGCGCCACTGTGCCGCCCAAAGTAATTATTTTTACTTTTAAAATCCCATTGTGAGTGAATACTTTGCTACATAGCCTACTGTAGATCCAGTTTCCCTAAGAACAAGTCCAAGATGGTGAACCTTGTGTTGCCCTTACAAGTTGTGCTTTGGATTAAAACGTTTTCTAAATGAGTATTTAAAAGTATAACAAAAATGATTATGTACAGTAAATGCAATTTTTATGTTCTTAGTTTCCATTGATAAGAATTGCATGAATTAGAAATATTTACCAAATTATTGTTACAATGAAAGTGTCAACATTTGGCAGACTAATACAATTTAAAGTTGGCTTCAATGGTACAATGGGAATCAAAATATCTGTTGTAAATTACACAACTATACAATTTTATAACTTTCGATTACCTAAGCGTGGGAAAATTCACTGACCGTTGCACCATAATTAACTTTGCATTGCATGTTTAGTTACATTTTAATGGGTATTTCATGTTAAATGAGTTCTAATTCAGTTTTTTTTATATAGCGCCAAATCACAACAAAGTTGTGTCGGGGCACTTTACAGGAACATTCACATACATAAAAGCCAATTAGTAAAGTTATCTAAGGAGGCCAGCAGATTTATGAAATTCCTGCCGACATTAACCCCAGGTTGAAATGGACATGCTACAGCTCACTGCTGCCGCTGCTATTGGCTCTTGTAATGACCCCACACACATGTACAGTTGAATTCAAATGTTTACATACACTGAAGATGCAGTTTTTTTCCCCCTTACCTTTCCTGTATTAGAATTTCTTAAATGTATGCTTGTTAAATGCCCAGTTACACCTTACTACAGTATCTTTCTTAAAAAGTCACAAGTTTACTGCACATCTGAGCACGCTACAGTGAAGTTAAAACATTTTGAGACACGGTGGATCATTAACTGGAGGAGAAACGGCAAAACTAGATTCTGTCTCCTAATAAGGTCAGGAAATCAGATACTGCACGTCTTGTTAGTGATGATGTGTTTCTGGGAAAGCAGATGAGGTAAAATAAATGTGCACTTCTGCCATGATTTATGACCTAATAAAAATTGATGCATTCAGTTGCAGCCTGTAAATTAGAACATGCACACTGAAGTTTTAGTTGCTGTAAAAACAAAGGTTAGATATTCCATTTAGGTTCACATCGATCATTTTAAATTATGGTTTCATTATGTGATGAATTTAATATAAACAGTTATGTGGGTTTCTGGTAAATTTCCATCTAAATGGTTGAAATATGTTGTATTTGAATGGATCGTAAAGACTTGAGCAACATTTGTTTTAGGTGAGCTGCAGGGGATGCTGGCTTGTCTTGGGATAGAAATGGGTGGACTTTTTTGAGTTGCGTTCAGAGTGCTTGTCCTGTTTTTTCTTTTTGTAAATGTACAAAAAAAAAAAAGCCTGAAGCAAGGACAAAGTTGGATGTTACTAGGATAACCACCAGTACTGATCAGATTAACTTGGTCAATCGTGGTATTTCCTTGTGACACTCGGGTTCGATTTTTTTTTGTCTCATCCAAACTAGTTACTGTAGTTTTTAACATTTTACTGGAGTGTGAGGAGTTTAATCAGATGTTTTGTTTCTTTTGGGCATGGTATCACTGCAAGAACAACATGACGTCATGTTTATAATGTTGCCCAATGTAATGAGAGAAGAGGTTAATGAAATGTAACTGCTGCCATTGTAAGGTTATGGAATACTGAGGTGTATTTCATCCACCTTTTTAACTTTGTGTAGAAACTAAATGCTTCTAAAGCTCACAGGATACTTCAGGTTACATCTTGCAATGATCTGAGGAATGTTCTTAGGTGGTATCTATCGTCATTGACACACCCAACACTGATTATAAACTGAGTCACATCTGGTGCACAAAAATGAAGTAAAATACCTGCAAAAAAAAGTTATTGTATGCAAGGATGTTTAAAATCTCTCAACAGAAGAGAGGTTTTGGTAATATGAGGAAACAAACGGTACTGTTAAAGGTCAAAGCAAGGCAGGAAATCAAACATTGGTGAGATAATGGCTTTAAATTGTGTAAAAAAACATCCATCCATCCATTTTCTTTACCCACTTGTTCCATTTTGGGTCATGGGGGTCGCTGGTGCCCATGTCCAGCAATCACTGTGCGAGGGGCGGGGTACATCCTGGACGGGTCGCAAGTCCATCACAGGGACACATAGAGACAAATGAGACAAACAACCATTCACTCTCTCACTCACACCTAGGGACAATTTAGAGTTACCAATCAGCCTAACATGCATGTTTTTGGTCTGTGGGAGGAAACTGGAGCACCCGGAGAAAACCCACGCATGCACGGAGAGAACATGCAAACTCCACCCAGAAAGGCCCCTGGACCGGGGTTTGAACCAGGGACCTGCTCACTGAGAGGCAGCAGCTCTACCAGTTGCGCCACCGTGCTGCCCGTAAGAAAAACAGATAAAATATATTAAGATAAACTTGGAAAAAAAGCATAAATATTTGTAACAATATATTTTTTAATTTAATTGGGGTAGTAAAACAAGTACTGTACCGTAATAAGATAATTTTTGCGACCTACCAATGTAAAGTAGAAATTCTTCCAATAATGTAAGTGTATAATATGTGGTTATATCCCTGATTTTAATGTTTTGATAAATTAAAATGTGGAGAAAATTAAAAAGGCTAGTTTTTTAAACTTTTTACCATATTTCTAAATATTTTCATCTAAGTTCACTAATCTTTATAAAATAAACCAACAATGTCTAATGCTAACAACAAAGTCCATGCTCAATAATCCAGGTATAAAATCCAACATTTTTCAGTCAGGTCATCTGGACAGTTTAGTTTTTTTTTTTTTTTTTTTAGTGCTGAAACGTTTCGCCTTCGATCCGGAAGGCTTCATCAGTCAAGGAAACACAACAAAACTGATTCTTCCCCCAACAGCTTACTCCAAAATGGAACAAACCAGTTCTGCTGTTGTGTGTTTCCTTGACTGATGAAGCCTTCCGGATTGAAGGCAAAACGTTTCAGCACAAAAGAAGAAACTGTCCAGATGACCTGACTGAAAAATGTTGGAATGTCTAATGCTGTTAAATAATTTTTCTTATTTTTTTTTTCTTGCTATTCTACGGTGAAACCAGACGTGTTTTCCCTCTCTGCCCCCCCACCCTCTTCCCTGCTGCGCTCTTTTGTCCCGTGAACCCTTAAAAAGCCTCTTTTTTTTCCTGCATACCTCTTAATTGGAAGGATCAGCTGGTCTCTCAACAAAATCGATCAACTTCTCCCGACAGGAGTCAGGGTAAGAAGGACACTCTGAACTCTGAAGGAACAAATTGGATTCATGATGACGACTAGATTCTACTGTTTGGGTTGGTGGAATCTGGTTGTCTACAAATTTGTGTGGAGGTGTTGAAGCTTGACAGTGCTCGGACTGAATGTGGAGCTGTGACTGGGAATTGGAGCAGCTGTATCAGGACTGTGTTCTCCCTGGCAGCACTCATGAATGGTGGAATAATCTGGAGAAGCTGTGAGCTCGACTTTTGGAGTAAAGGATCAATTCGGCTGTTTTGGAGTTTCCATCAGAGAACATGTACCAGCGAGACTTTAAAGGCAGAAACAACAATTCACGAGTTCTGCCTGACCCAAACTGTGGCCTTGACGCCGGACTTTTCTCAACTCCTCCTGGAATGTTTGGAAAACAACAAAGATGCTTTGACTGTTTCCTCACCCCTCCCTTCCCCAAGGCCATGGACATGTGACAGAACCTTAACTGAGCTGAAGATGAATGTCACCTCTTATCTGGACAATGACTGAGGGTGGGGGCTCTGGACTATATTATGACTTTCCCTTAAAAATTCAATGTCTTCACCGCCTATATGTTCATGCATAACGTCTGTTTATGTTGCTTTGCTGTGTTAGTTTTTTTGATGCCTCAAATTGTGTCCTGTCTAGGACATGGAGTGAGAGATCTTTTTTTTAATACCGTCTCTCCTCATGTTTTCTTTCCTTTTCTTATCTAAGCAAAATATTATTCTGAATAAGAATAAGAAGGCCGCACTGATTATTTTAGCCGCAGCTTCGTGCACTCCGCCCATCTTCGGACGACTGTACGTACATATTTGCGTTGTATCTTGGTGCAATGCCAATAAAGTTTATTCTGATTCTGATAAGGGATACTTTAGGACTGAAAATATGTTCTTTAGATACTCTTGGTTCATAACAGCCAGAAAGTGATGTTTAGGATTTGGCCATAAATGACTGGGTACCATTCTTCTAAAGATAATTCACTTTGGCCTTAACACCAATATTGCCAATGTCTGTGGTTATTTTATATTACCTGGCAGAGCCCTATAAAGAGAGAGTTGCGACACTCCCATAGACTCCCATAGAAAGAATGGAATGCGGAAGTCACGTGGGTCATGAAGCGGCAAAAAGTTCCAAACAGCAGCGGGTTCAACATTGAACGTAGTTCATTCTCCGTGTTTTCTCCAGTAAGTTGATGAAAATACGACACTTTTTCTCCATTGTGAAGCTTTATCTGACTGTTCTGTACCACAATTTATCAACATTAATACTTCATGTCGCCAGTTTTAGTTAATGAAACATGTTAAATTACTAGTTGTGTTTTAACTGCAGCTGCTCTGCAACATGACGGTTTAAACGGGTCTATTTCTAATTCAACGTTTTAAAATATCTATTACTGCTTACATTTTGAAAGGTGGTCTTTTTTAAATTTATGGTAATTCCAGTTACTGAACTCAACTAGAAAATATTTGGCTTTTTTTCCTGAGATTCATTCAACCTTTATTTCTACAGGTAAATCCCATTGAGCCTCGAGGACTCATTTACAAGAGAGACCTGATTTAACAAAGAATGATGACAACATGACAACAAGATTGACGTAATTTAGTTAAAGTTATAGATCATTTGTCAAAGACTGCAGCATAAATTGTGACATTATCATTAAAGAAAAACGTGATTGTGGAGATGAGTCAATGTTTTCATGTTTTCCAGGTAAACCAGAGGAGAATGACTTCATGAACTGAATGTTGCATTCAAAGTATCACAAAGGTACAAGATCTCATTTTCTGTCTTCCAAAACAATAACAGCTTAATCAAGATGTTTGAATAAAATTACTTTAACACCATAACCTTCACAAAGTTGGTATTTACTGCAGGACTGTTAATTTACATTAGTTTTATATTATTAGTTTAGTGTTTGGTAATCATGGGTCAAGTTGAGATGAGACTCTTTCAAGACAGAACAAGAAACAAGAATTATTACAAGAATATATCAGCATCAATAAACTGTAGGACAGTAACAAAACACTTATTAAACTATCACAGGTACATTGAGATGGAGCTGGAAGTTATTCTTCATGCCAGTTGTCTTCATCTGATCTTTTGTAAAAATATGTCAGAATTTATTTTCCATTTTTAACATTTTTCTTCACAGGACTGAGTTAATTTTCTTGTCTGAAGTTCTTCTGTCCTGCTTATGTATTTTTTGTGTTCTAATTGTTCCTCAGGTTTTTCATCTCTGTTCCCTGACTGCCTGTTGATCCATCCTCCTGGTCCTGTTGATCCTGGATCATCAGATCCTGACATGTCCCCGTCCTCTGAGGACACATTTTCATCTGTCCCTCATCTCACTCGCCTCATTTCTGTTTCTTCCTTATTCAGTCTCTGAAATTACAACATCACTGTTAGAATGAAGATTAATGTTCAATAAAAAATATGACATGTCTTATTGTAACACTGTTCGTATCAAAGTTTAATTTAGAATAACATGTGTGATCACTGGTCAGGTCACTGGTCAGTTCAATGGTCAGATCACTGGTCAGTGGAAGTTCTGCGGTTCTTCTCATCTGGTTCTGGTCCATGAACAACTGGTTGAACCTCCTTCAGTCTCACATGTCCTCACTGTGTCTCTGTGAACTGTCCTCTCTCTAAATGTGTCTGTAGAGTGACATTAGTTTATTTTATTTAACATTTCTTTGACAGTTAAACATTTTGAGCCCTGATTGAAAATGTTTGTGCAGATTAAATTTACAGCTCTCACTTTGTGTTGTTGTGATGATGATGATGGTGCTCCTGCTGACTTCAGATGATGTCATTAATAAGCAGTATAAATGTCAGTAAAAGTACTTTATTAAAGCTTGTTTTACATTTTACATATTTTATAATAAATTGTTTGGAAATTTATTTTTGCACAATTAACACTTATTTTGTCATCTATTATGATTTTAACTAGAAACAGTTTCATTTAAATTAACATTTTAATCAATGAATTACAGTTTTACAATAGTTGTCAGGCTACAATCAACTCAGTTATCAGGTACTTGGTTGCCATAAAAAAACGACAAATACAACAATTATATTCAGTCTCTCTTGTAAACGAGTCCTCGAGGCTCAATGGGACGAACCTGTTTAAATAAAGGTTGAATTAATATCTTCTATAGAAATCAAGAATTCATCCAGATGATCTAAGGTAAGCTGGAGCAGATCTGAACTACTGGCATGGAGGACAAGGTGGAGCATTCTCATGCAGAGAACATCAGAAACAGTTTTATAACAGGTGTTACTCTGATCTTTTTTTAACGTGTGTAACATTATAAAACACCTAAAAAAGTTAAATCTGGTCCTCTGGACATTCAAAAAAACCAAAAACAAAGCGAAACAACAAAAAATGTAGAAACGTTTCGTCTCTCATCCAAGAGACTTCCTCAGTCTGAGGTGCTGTACAGCAGGTACAGGTTTTGGATGAGAGACGAAACGTTTCTACATTTTTTGTTGTTTTGCTTTGTTTTTGGTTTTTTTGAATGTCCAGAGGACCAGATTTAACTTTTTTAGATTTTTCTACCTGGATTATTGAGCATGCATCAGGATATTATAAAACACCGATATGGCTATATTGATCACTGTATTGCATATACATTTTTTTCTAACAAATATGTGTTTGCAGTCTCGTTTCCTTCTAAAATTTAATGATAAATGTATCAGCCGCTTCTAAAAATGCTTTGATAAAATGCATAGTCTGTGAAATAATCAATAATCAGTTAAGTAATCAGTTCGTTACTGCTCAATAATTACTGAAAGATGCCAGGTAAAGTAAGAAAAGTTGATTTTTGTGTTATGTTGCGCCAGCAGCTGCTCAAACTGACAGACAGCGATGAGCTTTTTGGAACTATGGGGAGCTGCATGAACCACGTGACCGCGTACCGGCGAGTTCAAAGAGTGTCGCAACTCTCTCTTTATAGGGCTCTGTTACCGGGTATATATCATTATTCCTCTGTTTATAATTGTTTTCTTTAATGTAATCTGATATTATTGTGTTGAAGATCTTTATATGTAATGTTGTTTGGTTGAAATAAAGTACATTTAAAAAATAAAAATAAAATCTTGTCTGAGATGAATATGGGCTAGGCTTTAGCTCACAAATCTGGTTGGAACCAAACCAGGGCGTTCAAAAAGATGTGTACAACACATCAGATATTAATTATTCTTTTTTTTTATTACAATGAACACTGCTTTAAAATGTTGGAAGCATCCCTTTAAATTCTTGAAAACTTTTTGTGTATTAAAGTGTTGAACAACATCCCAAAATATATTTTACTTAATCAAAAGCTATAGTGGACATATTTAATATTGTTTACAGGGATGTTTTTAATGTGGTATTTTATTATTTATGTTATTAATAAATATATAATTACAGCCATCAGTATCTATAAATAACGGTTGAATGAATAACATCTCTTAATGAAATGAGAATAACGAGTTATAACAGCAAATAATTTCTCTTTGGGATTAATAAAGTATTTTTGAATTTGAATTTTATTTAGTTTATCAAACATATCTCACTTGTAAATGAGTGAGACTAACCGGTATAAATAAAGGTTGAACGAAAAACAAAAATTAAGCAGTCACAAAACAAGTGGTTTGATTAAATGAATAAACGCCTTGCCCTACATCCCGCGGCTTCCCGCTGCTTTCACGTGCAGCTGCAGAGCAACAAATGTGGCGTAAACCACGTCAACTCGGAGAAAGCCCAAAGTGGCTGCCGTGTGGTGACCTCACATCCTGTTTTCCCCGTCCTGGAGGAGGACTGGCTCTGGACGGTACGGTCTCGGCTCAGCGTGAGTTCTGAGCGGACCTCACGGTGACAGCAGAGGACATCCGAACAGAACCCCCTCCCCGGGCTATGCTGCGTCCTGCGTGTTGACTCAGGAGGAAGGAGGCGTCGGTAAGTCGCTTATTTACTCCGAAGTTCACGACTTTCAGCTTTAATTTCGGAAACTTCAGCTCAGTTCGTCAGCAACTTTGATTTTGTTTTATTTAACCAAAAAGAAAAGTTCCACCAAAGTGCGCTAGAACAGCCTCGGTTTCTGGTTGTGCAACAGCCTGTTCAGAGGGTAACTGATAAAAAAAAAAGAAAACGTGTCATTGATCCAGTTCTGGTCACGGTTTAATATGAGGTGCCGGATTAACGCCTTTTTGTTGTGAAACTGCTCATATTTGGTTGTAATCCGGTAATCTGCAGAGCAGGCAGCTCTCTGCTCTCTGGTTTTATTTCAGATTCTTTGTGCAGAAATGTTGAGTTTGTGACGTCACGTCGGGGGCACCAGAGGAGCATCCTCAGCATGGTGCACCTCATGCTGAGGAGGCTTTTCCACCATGATGATATGAGATGTCTGCAGACTGTCTCAGCACTTTGTTACAATAAAGGAAAAATAATGTTTATCCCTGTCTATATGCATGTCTGTTAGCAAAATAACACTAACCGCTGGATAGATTTTATTGAAACACTCAAAAGTAATCATTGGACTTTAATCAACAACTGTTAACTTTTAGTCACCCTGATAAGATGGCTGCCAGAGCTAGCAGCCCTTTAAAAGCACACCATTGACCACTATTGACCTACCATTTGGTGTAGTAGTTGTTGAGACTGATCCTCAACACTTAATCTAAGCACTGACAGATTGTTCAACATCTTAGTTTAATTAAAAAAAAATCCTTTGGCATCATCTCAGTCTGTCATGAAGTAATGGGTGGATTTTAATGGGACTTGTGGGAAACTACCATTAGATGAACATGCACAGCGGATCAAATATTTGAGCTATCCCTGTGTTTTGTAGCTGCCACAGCTGTAATGAAACTACATAATTCAGCCAGATGTTCAGATATTCTGCTCAGATTTGGTGGTATTGTAGCTGAGAATGGTTCACAACACAAGCGCTACTCATTGCCTGAAATCTTTAGCACTACATTTCGGCGTCAGCTCGGTTTGTCTGGTAGTCAAAAAATCTCATGAATCACTGGACAGATTTTAATGAAACTTCAAGAACGTAACTTGCATCTACGACTTTTTAACTTATGTGATCACCCTAATTCAAGATGGCCCCCACAACTAACAAATGGCTATAACTCGGTGAACTTTACTGATATTTAGCTCAGATTTGATTAGTTGAGTCATTCACAAATTATATGTGAAGTGAAATATCTCAATATCACAAGATCATGCATAACATTATTTTAATAATAATAATAATAATGTGTTTTGATCATTGTATGTTCCTATACAATCGTGAAATTGGCTCTCTGCATTTAACACATCCACCCCCAGGTGGAGCAGTGGGCAGTTATTGAGAGTGCCCAGGAGGCAATTGGGGATAGGGTGTCCTGCTCAGGGACACCACGACATGTGCAATGACTGACTGGGGATCGAACCTGGGACTTTCGGGTCCCGAGTCAGCCGTCCTGCCTCTACCCCATAAACAATCACAGAAACAAATCAAAAGTTGTCACTGATCAACTTCACTTTATTCACAATATTCATAGTCATTTATTTTTCCCTACTTGCTTTTTTCCATGGGATTAGACTATTTTCCGGAGGATCTCTATGACTCCGTCATATTATCTACAAGTGAAACATTACCGCAGGTGTGACTGTTGAAAGGTAACGCGCACGGTGTAAAGGTTTCCATGTATCTCAAGGGATTGTGAAACCTGGAGTCAATAAAAATGAAGTTATCATTGAATCCAGTCAGAATATGAAAAGTTTAATAAAAGTCCAATTATTTCACAGATGAAATATATTGTGTATTTTAAATACATCTCACATTCCTATACTTATTGTCAACTTTTTTTTTTGACAATAGAAAAATAAACCAGATAAGTTTTGGTGCAGAAATGAATGTATTTTTAAACTAATCAACTTTTCTTCTCTGAAGCCCACTAGTAATTTGGGAAATACTTTTGTAATAATCTGAGCTGATGAAATGTCAAAGAATTGATGTGTGTGAACTGTTTAAGAAGCATAAAGAAAAATTAGATTAAAGTGTTACTTGTGGTTCCATGGTAACACACTTGCGTCTCTCGCTCCCTGACAGCACTCTTAAGAACAGGCAGACAGAAAAATAGAATAGTATCAGACTCTTTATATAAGTACAAACACTTTCACAAAACACTTGTGCAAAATGGCCACAAAGGCCAGACATTCTTTAAGCTGCCTCTGACCATTCACCGATCACTAACTGATCCGACCAGGTTCTTTTATTGACGTGAGGTTTCATAAATGAAACGGATCCAAAAGAGACGTAAAGTGGAGCTCAGCTGTGTTGATGTGGAGCACTACGCATTAAATCTGTGATGGATATCTACCTCATAATTTATAAAATATGACAAATCGGGGTGCACCGATAAATCAGCTGGCCCATTTATCGGGCCCGATTTCCTTAATTTTGGGAAATCGGACGATACTTGCATGAGAAACCGATTTTACAGATTATTTTTTTTATTTTTAAGAACAATTGTCTGAACTTCATTTATATTTCAGAGCACTACCTCATGGCCAGTTAAAACAAGTTGTATTGTTTCCAGGATATTGTTCAAGGGTATGTTTTTCACTAAAATAATATTGGAAAATTGAAGGTGCACTGTGACCTTGTAACACCTGACGATGTCACTTATGAAACAAAATCAGTATCAGCCAAAATCGGAATCGGTGCACCCCTCATGACAAATTAACTGTGTTTAGTGATTTGTTTTTATTTATCATTATTGTTGTTTTTTGATTAACCAATTCTTCATGTACCGTAATTTCTGGACTATAGAGTGCACCTGAATATAAGCCGTGTACAAAAAAACCCAAAAATTTTGTACATATACAAACCGTGGGTGTTCACATTGTAACAGGAGTGGCAGCACACAGCTACTGAGAGAGATGTGCAGCTCGTTCAGATCAAGATTCAACCACCAGATGAGGCTTTATAGACTTTGTTTTACTGTTCATCACATACAGAGGGAGTGAACCCTACAGATCTTCAGGACCTCCCTCCCTCATGGTTACTCCCCACCCCCCTCCCTGTTCTCTCCTTCCAACCCTGTTTCATTGGTCCACTGTGACCTGTTTGATAATTTAATTGGTCAGCTTTTTTTAACCTTTTATTTATACAGGTAGCCTCATTGAGTCACGAGGACCCACCCCCCAAGAGAGACGTTTATTGGGCAGCTATGTGAGCGCCCTGGTGTTTTTGGCGGCATGAAGCTCGTTAGCCCGTCAAAAAAATTTTTTTCCATAAATTATTTGCAGCATTGTATAAGCCTATAGTTCAAAACGTGTGAATAAAGTCACGACTTATAGATCGGAAAGTACGGTAAATGCAGAGCTGTGTGTTGTCATCAAGCTTCTTTTCTGGAACAAATTATTGTGTAGTTTTTTAATATGCAGACGGGTTGTTGCACAGACTGTATGCCATCGTTAAATCACATCCTTACCTTTTCACAAGTCGATTGTTGTGGCTCTGTTACTACCTCGCAGGGTGGCTTAAAGGTGCAGAAGTGATGACTTCCACCTGTGGCTGTTTCAGCTTAGAGGCACAACAGTCTCAAGTAGGCCTGTCACAATAAACAATAAATCAATTAATTGCATGATAAATGAAAATTATCTACCTCATTTTCATTTATTAGCTTTATTGTTTCTTCGTGTCTCTCTTTCTACTGAAGACACTGGATGACAAAAGGCTCAACTCCAGTGTTCTTCACTGACCCCTCCCTTTCTCTTTTCTCTTTAAACTTTGTTTTGACCACCCACAATTGCGTTTTTGGATCGTAGCTAAGCTGAGAAGCTAAGCTACGAGCTAAGCTAACAGGCCGACATCGGTGAAAAACCTCCATCTTGTCAAAGCTCCACAAAACCCGTGCCTTCGTCTAAATTGTTTTTCTCTGCAAAAAGAAGCTGGAAACTTGTTTACTGATTTTTTTTTTAATTAAAAGTTTTGTGTGAAAAATGCTATGCTAAAGAGTTCAAACCACACCGAACGTCTGTCATTTTGAGAACCGAAAAACAAGAACAAGAGACGGCCCATGTGACGTCAAGAGGCCTCCCTCCCATTTCACTTAAAGAGACGCTGCTCACTCCCTCCCTATCCATCCTTCGGTTCAAACAGTCTTATACTGCCATCCAGTGGTGAAAAATAGTACTAAACACAAAAATTAACCAACATTTCTTCTTAAATTTGACAATAATTACTAATTGGTGTCAAATTTCAAGCAATATTATCGTTTATCGCAATAATTTTTGAGACAGTTAATCGCCCAGCAAAATTTGTTATCGTGACAGGTAGATATGCACCGATCCGATACCAATATCGGTATTGGTCCCAATATCAAAAAAGCGTCAGGATCGGGTATCGTTGACAATGTGACTGATCCATGACTGGGCAGATCTGTTCACTCTAATTCAATGCTTTGTGCTCTGAGTGACGTCACGCGCTAGCGAACTCGCTGCAGATTGTTTTCAAAATGGAGTTTTAAGTTAATTCAGCACTGGGTTTGTAAGCTCAATCATCCAGGTAGACAACAACAAAAATGGCTAAATCATGTCATCTGGACCTGTTTCAGAAACGGGTCCAGATGACATGATTTAGCCATTTTTGTTAATTCAGCACAGTTTTTCTGTATCGGATCGCCATCGACAAACCACAGGTATCGGAAGTGAAAAAAGTGGATCGGTGCATCCCTAGTGACAGACCTAACCACAAGTTTCCTTTAACCACCTCCTCTGCTGCCTTGGTCCATTCAGAAATTGCTCCAATATGGCCAGAAGACATCCCAGTCCTGGCTTAAAGCATTTCTGTGAAAGTGCACAGAAGTCTTATTGACAAAAACAACAACAAAACCCTCAAATTGTCAGCGTCATCACACGACATTTTTTTTTTCATCTACAGTGTTTTATACTCTGCAGTCTGGAGGCGCTTTTAGAGAAATCCACAAGTCCCATAGCCGCGAGAGACACACCAATTTAAAGACAGCCAGAAGGCCTGCATTTTGTTGTAAACCTGGATGAGAATTGTAAATTTTGTGGAAGTAAAAAGAATGAGCGTTCTAGAGTCACCAGAAACTTCCACAGTCTGATTACACACATTTTAAAGTTTTGTTGTCTCTTGTAGGACAGTTTTTCTTCTACACTTGGCTCAGGATTTTCCAATTGTCTTAAGGCAATGTCTTAATTCTCTTATAC